CACATCCCTCCTTCTCTCACAGCGAATGCATAAGAAGTATTTCATGTTTTGAAAGTGCCAGAAAGAAATAAGTATCTACATCAGACTACTAAATTTATAGGTTTTAGTACATCATAGGGAATAAGCTGCAAAGAGAGTTCAGCAAAACATCTCGTTGCAATACAGGTGATCCAGCACGGCAGAGGTGCCTCTGCCCCCCTCACAGATGGATTCAGTCATTTGCCACTATCACCTACTACAGCCAAATACAAAAGGAGCTTCCTAATGGCACTGCATAGCAGCGGACAGCACATGACACTACATCCTGCCAGTCAATTTGCATGCTGATGGTTTTTAATTGCACCTAATCTTGATTGTTATGGAGGCTGAATACTCAGCAACAGAATTTCTAAACATCTTGACATACTTTAGGAGGAAGCTGTCCCTTTTAATAGCCCTAGCAGGGGAAAAGGTCAATATATGTTGTTCAACTGGTTTGCCCTGAAGCCAAGGACAGTATCCTTTGTTACCCTAGGCTCATGCCACCCTGGGAATTATTCATCCCATCAAAAGCTTTTGCCATGGAAATCTTTTCGTCTGGCCAGTATGGTTGAGTGGACTGATGCATTCTCCCTCAGCTGTGTTTACTCAAGAGTTTAATTTTATGCTTATGGACTACTAAAATACACTGCTGAAAGTTTTACAAGCAGAGCCCTGCCTTGTTCTTGTTGAACTTAACGCAAGCAAGAGGAATAATCAAGCCCCTCGTCCTCTGTGTACTCTCTCAACAGTTTTGATGTCAGTGAGACAATACACTGCCCAATCTCCAGCCTCAGCTATATGATCAGTGTGATCTGCCATGGGACCAAATGCCCGTTTAACCTGCCCCAAGAAAGTCACAAGAAAATATGCATTTAGTTTCCTAATTCAGACAAAGGTATTTGCTATATTCTCAATGCTTGGAGTTCAAATATTTCTGCTCCACACTTTCAGATACACATGTAATTGAACTCTGTCAGATTAGAACATCCAAAGTTAGCTGGTTTTGTTTTCTCCTGATTAGGATAATCAGTGAAGTTCTGAAGAACTGAATTTAGCAATCAGACTTGCTAATTGCGTTCAACAAGTTTTCGCTGGTGTCTCAGGTCTGGAGACGAGAACCTACATCCTGCTGTAAGCATCATACAACAGAGGACATGGCAGTCTTCCACTCGCACCTCCACCCTTGAGCACATAGAAAATATTGAGAGCAACACAGTTCCATCTCACATGCTGTGCCTCTATTCCATTGGGTCCTTGTCTTTCCCTTGGATATCTGTAACCATCTCTGCTGTTCTCTTCAAGCTTACTAGCTGACAATGTTTTTTTAATGCAGATATTTGGGATGAAGACTTGCAAGGATCAAGTTTTATATTAAATCCAAAATCAAATTCCAGGATTAGCTTTTTGGGTTTTTAAAAAAAGAAAATCTTACTGAACTAACAATTCCAGTATTTGATTTTTATATGAGACTGTTACGATTTCCTCTCACCTACAGTTTGACACCTCCCTGTACAGAATACTACACCCTGTCAGCACAGACAGTAAACTATTAAATTAATGCAATAACATATTAGTATTGCTGCCTTTACCTAAATGATACTTTATGAAGTTACACTGATTGTCCAACTAGTTACTAAAAAGTCAGTAACTGACCTTTTTACTACAGCCTTCTGTATTAACTGCCATAGTATATGTGCATATACATACACACACACACACACAAAATGAACTGAGTTTTCATTGATTACGTCTTTCACAGGATTTCAGGAAACCAACATTGCTCTGCTGTATTCGAAGTTATTAACTGATAACCAACACCCCTCTTGAAATTATTCATCTGTAATTCCCTGTAATTCGTTGTGTTTAGAGATCCTCTCATGGCAACACCTACTGGAAAGACAGTAATATTCCCTCCAATATTAGAAACATCAAATCTAGACCAGAGCCCTACTAATAAAATGAAGCACTGTACTAAGACCAAGAAGTGTTTAAATAGTCAACATAGTTCCAAGGGGTTTCAAATGCCCTAATAAAGGTGCTTCGCTAAGACCTATACAGTGCTGTATATCAGTATAAAATTCTGGAAAGGAAAAAGAAAAAAAAAAAAAGAGAAAGAGAAAAAATGGAATTTACCAGAGACAGCCATAGTATCACTGATCCATGCAATTGAAAATATCCAATCCTTATGTCCATCCTAAAAGAAAAAAGACAGATTTTTCTGTGCCATTATACTCTAGAGTAGTCTCAAAGCAGCAAGTACTCTTCACTTTCATTTTTAGTACAAGCTCAGAAGGACAGACCTACATTAAAAACATACACATAAGATTCCAGTATCAAGCTGGGGCAGTTGAAGTACCTAACAGTAATTTTAACTTTTTTTTTTTTTTTGAAGTGTATAATAGAGAGCAAATAGGTGATGGAAAAACAGGTCTCTGACCAAGGACAAATTGATCTCAGTTCTACGGACTTGGATTTTCCATTTTGAAAGCAGCGTTCTTTACTTCTGTAAAGTAGCTACACACTTTTAGTTCCTCAGATAAACATAACTACTATAAAAAGTAACCAAAACCTTAATGTTTACAATATATGGCCTACAGATTAATTTTTCAAGACTATTACTTCAAGAATCTTTTCTTCAGCAGGTGAGAAACCTATGGGGGGAAAAAAAGACTATAAGGTTCAAGTTCTGTCTGAAAAGCCGCAAAATCACAGCTGCACGCAAATGAACAGCAAGTCTCATATAAATCTTTAGAGCCAAGCCTTTCTGCAGCTGGTTATCTGCTACTGCAGAAACTCTGACCTGACCTCTGCTGCTGTAGTTAACACCTATGTGAAGTCCTGAATCAAAAAGGAGAAACGAGAGAGAAGTGCTTACAGGACACCACTATACTCACTTCAGCCTTTTTTCTTTTTCAGACCGGCTATTTTAAAAAGGCCTCATGATGTTTCAGAAATAGAAGCAGTACCAGAGTCTACCAAACTGCCATAAGCCACTAGGTTAGAACTAATCTTTAAAGCCTCTGGAATAATACATACATAAGCTGCACTGGAGAAGGGGAAAATCTGAACAACTTGTATCAATTTCTCAAAAGAACTTTTTCACTAAAACTAGTTTCAGAGGTCATCACCACAATTAGACTTTAACATTTAGGATTTTGTTACATTTTTGGTGCTTAAAAGTAATCTGAAGTAGACCTGAATGAGGGTGAGGAAGAAGAGATTTGACTCGGAGAACTGTCTTGCATGTTTGTGTACTCACTCATATTTAAGACAGCTTGTCAAAAAAGAGAACTTAGTTGGGAATGTTTTGAAGCTTTCAGAAATTCACTCTCCACTACAGCACTCCCAATCTTAACCTCGCTCTGACCTTACGCACTTCAAAGTAGTAATTCTTGCAAGTGACAGAATAGACTTTCCCCAAATACTCCCACTTACATCTCCCACACAGACAGGATCCAGTGTAGGCAGACGATAAATTGCAAGACTGTTGGGGTTGTCTCCACCTGTGGCCAGAAGGGTCCTCGATGGGTTGAGCTCAATGGCATGAATACCACAACCCTGCTGGTTCACCATGCCGGGTTCACGATCTTTCAGAATAGGAATCTTGGTAATTTGACCAGTCTGGACATCTACTACAAATAACTGGGAAAAAAAACCAGGAGAAGCATGTCATCATTGAACAGGTAAGAAAAACAAGATGGTCAAATATACTGCCTATTTTGAACTGACATTCTTTTCAAGCTGGAATGCACAAATGCTGCAAGGATGGCTGAAAAATGCATAAATTCCTTCTTAAAACAAGTAAACTAACTTATTACAGTGGAGTTTATTTCAATCATCCCATTTGGTTTTCACAGCAATAGAAGAGAGAAGAGAGAAATTTGTCATGGGAGGTTTCCCACTTAACAAAACCCTTGAATCAAAAACTCTTTTCCCTGTTCAATACTGTGACAAAACAATATCATTTTCCAGTTTCCCTGAACAACAGTGAGAGAGACACCCACCTCAAAACAGCCAGTGAGGCCCAGGGGGCTTAGCAGAAGCCTCCTGCCTCCCAAATAAGATACTTACCATGAAGTTTTGGCTTTGGCAAACTGACACTTCACAAATTTATGTAATTGGAGTTTATTTTTTGGTGATACACAGAGAATAGTAACTAACTATAGTACTGTTGTCCCAAAGACAGGTTCTTTAGCCGGTGCACAGAGACCAATTCACACACTGGGTCAAGATATTTACTTTATTTCATTTCTGCGCAGAGACGGGTGCTAGGTGGTAATTCCACAAAACTAGCACACCCCATTAGCCTTGCCCCACATATTTATACAATTAAACAAAGTCACTACACCTACTGTTAACACCTATTTGTTAGTTATCGGTTATTTCTACTTTTGCTGTGACACCTACTTGTTAGCCATTGGTTATTTCTACTTTCACTTAAAGACATAGCTCCCTTTAAAATCACTACACATGCTCAGTGGGTAGGGGTCTCACTTTGGAGGTGGGTAGCTCTTCCAACAGAGGTGTGGTTTTCATATTATAATTAGTTGGTTCACTTAGGGGACACTAATTAGTGGATCTTGCTGACTAGTAAAAGACGAGTAAAGGGGAGTTTTGACACTCAAGGATACATGTTCATTGTTTTAGAGATCTCTTGGCCTTCTGCTCCTCATTATAGATATCCTGGTGCCTATTATCTTTAGTACATTCCTTCAACAATCAGTCATCTGTACTGTCAGTGTGAATATCTTAAAAACGGTATCTAGCTACATACCTCATCCTGCAAAAACACTGGAATTTGGAGCTCTATGTCACTGTCCCCTTGGCAGAAAACTCCGTTATAAAGCCTTACAACTCTTCAAAGAGACATCATTATACCCAGAGTTATGTCAGTTCAAACATATACGACCATAGGACTACAATCTAAGCCAGAACAAAGGTTTACATTGCCTGCCGAAGTGCACTTTCATTTGGGAGGCTCTTGTGCTGGATCCTTTCACATGTATTGCTCAGAGTGCAGCTGCACTAACAGTCAAATAGGTATAACAGAGGGGACAAAGTCCTGTGAGGGAACATGAGTGAAGCAAGGAAATGGAGGATCTGAAGCTCACTTGGCACTAAGGAAAGTGATGCAGAATCACAGCCAAGTATTATGATTAAATTCCACAGACACACACCACCCCTTAAATTTGTTCCCTCTGTACCCAAAGAACCTTGTCTCGGAGCCTCTGGAAGTGAGCTGAAGATGGAGAACATAACAACAACAACAAAAAAAGAAAACAGTGCAATTTCAAAAATACACATCTCAAGGAAATTGTTCTGATATCCTTTATCAGACATTTCTAGAAGGACATAGAGAAGTCTAGCGGTTCTCAGAGAGAAGTTATGTATACAAGTCGGTTTTCATGACCTGTCACAAACTGTAGATCTGTTCTTTAATAAGCGTAAAAAAACCCAAGAAAATTTAGCAGCATATCTATTCTTCTTGACGGACTGAACTAGCAGAATATTGTCAAACCAAAACCTGACAAAGTATGTTACGTTAAACTCATTCTGCAGAGAAAGCTGAAATCCATTCATCGCTATGTGTGTTGTATCTAGAATTATGCACCATCTCCAACCCACAACTGATCTTTCTCTGTAGGCAGTCTTGCACAGACAGATGACTGTTCCTACAGGGACTGAATTTTCATGTTTAGTTCTTTATTTTGCATGCAGGTGTGGGGTCAGGCAACAGCTGAAGTGCAGCTGAGTAGGAGGGAGGCACTCCTCACTTCTCCCAAGCCTTACAATGCAGTTCACTGCCTGGGACAGCTGGTAAAAACGTGATGCGCACAGCAGCCCCTCTTGCCCTAGCCACGTCCCTAAAAATTAACACCTGCACTGTAGGATCAGGACCAGCAGCCCCCTCTCCTCTCATCCTCCCTTGTCTTTCCCCTCAGTGCATACCCTCTTTTCCTCCTCAGCATTTCCCTCCAGCAGAAAGGCCCAATTCCCTCCCCTACCCTCCTTCAACTACTGAAAAAAAACCCCCACAAAATCAATGGTTGAGTACCTAAGATTAAGGCTTGCAAGTGTCATCTGCAGGTCCTAAAGCTGGCACCAGAAGTGCCAATTAGGAAAACACATCCACACCTCAGGATGTCCACAGACTCAGGAAAATTGTGCTTCAGCTCTAAGAGATTCACACTTTGAAGAGCACAGCAACAGGTATGAGGACTGAAATTAAAACCCCTTTACATTCTCCAGTCTGACACCACTGTCATACATCCATGTTTGATACTAGGTTAACAAAGGCTTACTGTAATGCAAAATTCCTTTAGCTAAACGCTAAACTAATCAGGCAGAAAAGGTAAAGAACTTGGAAACACACAATGCTGAAGCATCAGACTCTCATACTTCTGCCCTGGACCTTCAACCTCAACATAATTTTCCTGTAACAAGTTTCCAAATGAAGATATTCTCAGAAGCAGCAATAGCACATATTTCTTGCAGTGCTTTCATCTGCTGGTACCCTACTCTAATCCATCGTCAGCCCTTGAATCGCTTTGTCATTTCCTCACTTTTATTCTCCAGTTGCACAGTATTACCGTAACCAGAACAGCAACTGCTCTTAGGGCAAGAAACTTCGCACAGTTAAAGGACTGGCTTTGTAGTTTTGGCTGTAAAGTTTTAAGCAGTTAACTTCCATCCTTGCTTCGTAAGGAAGCTGGCACACTGTGTGTACTATAAAAACAACCACCACCACCCTAGAATGAAATAAGCAAGCACTGTCTGTGTATGCTAGGACCCTTGCATCACCTGGGGCAGGACAGGAAGCCAGCAGCTCACACTTGCAAGCTGCACCACTGATGGCAGAGAAATCTTCCCTCTAAGTCCAGCAAACAGAAGCCAGGAGAAGCCAAGCAGTTGTTAGACTTCTAAAGCCAAAAATGGGGAAATGTTAAGAAACAAGACAGGCACCCAGCTAAGAATACAGAAAACTTGAATACTGTTTTAAGCACACTACAGTAAATAAAGTACAAAATATCTGACTGCTTTTAAACAAGTGCAGCCAAAACCACAGCAAACAATGGCATAAATTCAAAGAAAAAAACAGAAATTGGCCTGCTTCTTCCAGGCAAACGGGTACCTTTGCTGCTCTTGAAATAAGTACACCTGCAAATAACTCCAAAGCAGCCTGGACTCTAAGAGTCTTGACAAAGTCCTGATAGCTGAACAATACTTTTTTCTTCACCTCAAGAAATTATTTTCCAGCTACTCGTTACATAGAAACTAAAAACCAGCCACAAAAACTTTTCCTGGATGCAGTAAACCCCCAGCAACCTCCAAACAGTGAACTGTGCACATTTGTCCCTTGATTTTAAGCCTTGCACATAATTTGGTTCTTCCTGCTAGTAAAACATATGCATGTTAGCCATTAGCGTGCCACATAACTTGACATCCAGGATTTACCAAGCCAGGATTGCTTTGGCCATCTGCCAGAAGTCCAAGGACCACACTGCATCCCTGAGACATGGAGCAGACTCAGCTATCACGTTCTCTGTGGAACAACCTTGTTCTAACAAGGAAACAGGCTGGATGACATGACAGAGAGAAATTAATGTTCCCTCTTTTTTTTTTAAAGCAATTCAGACGTACAGCTTGTAACAGTGCTATCACTCGAGGATCAAGGCCCACAGGCATGGCTATGTACTACAGCTGTCTTAGCCATGAATATTTATGATCTGGCCCTACTTCTCACACCGCACGAGATTACTAGCTGTATGCTTATTATCCTTTTGGTTTGCAGAAGTGGTCAGAAGTCATTTTGGCAAATGGCTCCCATACAATCACTACATGGCTGTCCCCTTTTCAAACTGCTTATGATAAAGTTGATCAAGAAACTGCTCCACTTCATTGACTAAGGAACTTGATTAACCAACTTGCCAAAAGTAAAGACTGTGGCAGGGAATCGAGTATCTGAGGAACAGAGTCAGAACTGCAAAATGCACCCTTCTCTTATATACAACACTGAGAGCAGAACGGCTTGCCAAGGTCTTCTGTCAAGTTTACTTCAATTTTTTGACCTGCCTTTCGGAGACAACAGTTTGGGGGGGTGCAGGGGAACCAACCAAAGTTACCAGTTCATTAAATATAGGTGCCCTTCCCATGCATACTTAACTGAAAGCATTGACTTTATGCAGCAAGATTAAAAAACAGGCCTAGGAAATGCCATTTCAAGGCAGCACACAAACTCTCCTGTGTCCTCCACTGCTGCCACTGCACACAGAACAAAAGATGAACAGGCAGCACTATCCTTTAGTTGATCATACAAATCAATCAGAACAAAACCAAAGGGTGCCACCCTGAGCTACAGCATGTTTTTGTTACACAGGCAGGACAGATGTAGATTCACAAGGCACAAAAAACATGCATGAAAGACTGCTTATTCTTCACACAAGTAGCGCTCACAATACATCTGCATCCCAACTCCCAGAAATCACAGGCACATTCCTGTCATTCATACTAACATTTGAAAGAAACCCAAGATAAACACATTGCCTTGCTAAATAGAGTCACTAAGAGACAATCAATCATGACGAAGTTTCACAACTGGCTTAAGCCAATTGTTGAGAATCCACGTGCTTCTTCCTCACCCACCCAAACAGTCTCACTGCCCCTGTGGCAGCGACTAGTGCTCAGGTAGCTGTGAGGTCAGCGGGATAGTATCTCTGCCTTCGGTGAAAACTAACCCTACAGGAAAACCCGCCTGAACACAAAGCAGCAAGCTGATCCAGCTGACTCCCCAGCCACGCACACATCAGTGCCAGCAAGAACAAGCAGGTGGGAACATCCCGTTCTGCAAGAGCACAACTCCAGACCAGCTGAAGCTGGTCACAAAAATTTCACCCTCAGCCAAGCTGGAAAATGACAACATTGTTCTCCTTCAAATTCGTTTTTTGCCAACAAAACAACAAAAGCAAGACAATGCTTACAGTATCATTACATCAATACCATTGCTGGTCACACTGAGTAGCACTGTTTGATTTTTCCCAGTTCTCAGTCTTGCCTTTTATTCAGATTGTAAACATCTCTCGTTTCCATGTTCATAAAATGCTTGGCATAAGGTTCTTCGGTTCTATGGCAATACAGATTTACTAATATATGCCAAGCCCCAAAGAAACATGGACTCAAAGACTAAGCTATCAACCTTGTACATCTCCTTTCCAGCGGAGATCAGAACATGCACTAATCTTAGCACAAAAACTACTCACAGGTTGTGCAGTACAGGTGACGCAAGTGGGTAACAGCCTCACACATCTTCCTTGAAAGGGTCCAAAGAGAAGCAATCCAGAATATATAGAAACCATCTGAGAAGTGAGCAGTGGTAAAAGCAGCCAGCAAGTCCACTGACTCTGAATTCACATTTCCAGAGGTAAGACCACACAATCAGGCACTCCACCTTGCTATGAAACTCTGAAGCACTACTAGCTAAGGGGCACACGCTTTGATGTCACTGAATTTGTTCACTGCCAAAATCACATTTGCCAGTTTTTATTTGTGTCTTGCCCGCTGTGTTTGATTTCAGGAGTCTGGCAGACAGTTAACACATGTTGACAGATGGCAAAGGATGGAGAAGTGAGAGACTTCGCCTCCTAAAGGGCATCTCTACCACCCACACCATACCTGGCATAGAAACTACCAGACTCTGCAGACAGACATGGGTATCACGTGCATTTGACAGGAAAGCACTGACTTGTGAGACAAGCAACAGCACCTGGGTATTTACTCACAAGCCACTGAAAAAAAAAGGGTGAATGGAAGTGTCAGTTACAGGCACCAGCGTCCAGCAGTGGACTATGAGTAGAGCTACAAACTGTGGGAGCACGACTTCTCATTCCCTCCCTGGCATCAGAAACGAGCCCTCTTCTTGATTTTTCATTACATGTGCAAAGCCAGAAGATAACATTAACTTGCAAAGCAAGCACAAATCATTTTCCCCCTAGAGTCCATAACCATGCATTGTATTCTCACAGCTACCACCCCAGGACTACAAGACTACATTATAATTGTATGAGGTGCACAGAACAGACATGAGATGTCTTGAACAAATTAAAAGAAGAAACAAGAGCTGGTGATTTGCAGCAGGGCATCCAAGACAACATATGAATCCATATGAGAGAAAAGGTACCAGCTAGCATTCAGAAAGCAACCCATTCATGCCTTGGAAAAGCCACCTGAAAAAACAGAAGAGAGCATTCAGTAAGGAAGTTTTTAAACACAAATACATCTATCAGGCCTACCTGAGGGGCGGGGGAGGGTGGGGGGGCGGGGAGCGGAAAGCAAACAAAAATCTCAGATTCCAGGCAATTATATTCTCAAGCAACTGGAAACTAATAAGCTTCTTGTATTTAGGGAATGATTTAGAGCTCTTGTACTTTTTCATCCTTAACTTCACAATTAGCAAAAGAATTATGTCCCGAACACATACACAGAACTAAGGGAACTGCTTTATTATTTGTCATTTCCTGAAATAAGTGAAAAAAAAAGAAAACTACAGCAGTCTCATGTTCAGTGTTTTCGTTTGCCATAAGGTTGTCTCCTATATAAGTCTCGACGTTTCTCTAAGAAGATTGAACAGAAGATGCTGATTACAGACCGTGTCTTCCTCAAAGACTTCACGGTATCAGCCTTTGGTAATTTAGATGCTTGTTCATTTGAATTTGAAGAACATTAAGAAGCCTATTGCATACGTAACCTAGGAGACTCTTGCAAACGTGAATCCTGCCTCAGTAAAGCCCACGTGATTGTGTTTGAATTTTGACACTTGAATGCTTATATAGGTTGCATAATTCTAAATCTATCAGAAAAAGCATGTACCTTTAAGAAACCCAAATATTTGATTTACAGCTGGCCACCTGTGAGCACCAGGATCCACTGGCGAACAATAAAATTATTTCATATACACAGTCATATCCAGGGATATTTTTAAGGATAAAAAGTTAACCCAAATAATTAAACAAGTTATAATCCTCATTAAAAATGAGCAACTGAGAGCTCCATATTCTCTTCAGTGTTTACAGTGACTAGTACTGTCAAGTGACTAAAACCAAACCTCCCCCTCTATGACAGGAGTGTATTTTTGTTTTGTTATTAAAAACAGTGAATCCTTCTGGCACAGCATAGCCAAGGGCAATTTCTAAATTAAATGCTAAAAGCTCTCAGTGCCACATTCAAGCTTTGATTAAAACAATTGCTATGGTTTATATATTTCTGTTGCATTAGCTTTAATTATGTGCAACTCCAATGCAGCAAACCCCATTAAAGACAACCAAGTTGGTTTAGATTTACTCCCAACTTATATGCCACAACTTCAGCGCATGAGAATTGGCAAAGGAATTCTTTATTTGGTTGCTTACTCAGGAGATGAGAGAGAAAAATCTCATAATTAGAGTGTAGAGTTTAATGCTCTACTTGTTCAAATGTGAACACAAAGCAACCAAGTTAAAGCTATTACAAGTATTCATAATTCATATACAATCTTTCACAATGCTGAAGTGACTTCTTTTGTAATCGTTGCATTTTGCCTAGTAAAAGACCAAGGTCCATCTGTAACATTAAGTGTAGCTGTGGAAGCACACACTGTTGTATTCAACAACAATATGGTTGAATCCCTCTTCAGTTCTGTGATTTGTTTGGTCCCAAACAATTTTCTGCAAGGTTGCGTTAACAACGCACTTGCCCATTTATCTTCGCTGCAGCAGCACTAGAACTACAGAAGTTACAGAACACAGCAAAATTGTTGCAGCTCTATAAAACATGCAATCATCTTGCCAGAGTAAGCAAGATTTTTGAGGGCTTGTGTTTCAACCTGTAAGCTGTTCCACAAACAGTGCTGGCTGCTGACCGGCCAAGGCAATGAACACATGTGGACGAAGAAGGCAGAGAGATTCTATTTCAGGCTTATTGCTGTTAACAGATTGTTTTGTTCATACAGCTAGGCCTTGCTTTTTAAGAGCTACTGCATGAAAGCCTCCCGCTGTGTAACTACGACTAATAACAGAATATCTGAAATGAAAAAAAAATACCATTGTCCCTGGAAGGTCAGACCACTGAGAGCAGCTTCGGCACAAAAAAAAAAAAAATTGAAGCAAAGAAACAATCACACCAACTGATATGCTTTGAGGTTTAAGAGCTGCTTGATCTCTGCATTCCTTACAATGCTTGATTTACTTCTGTGGCACTAACCAACTTGCAATGAACAAATTTCGGATTTTGCACTAATTCAATCAGAACTTCATACATGAAATTGCAACCTCAGCCAATGAAGTTGGGCTGCTGACTCCAGCAGAGAGAATATTACCCAAGAAGTACATTCGCCTACATTTATTAATCACACAGAACATAATTTTAATATTCCCCTATAATATTTCAAATCCAAAGCATCACTTTAAGAGTCTGAAAAGGTTTCGATTTTGGCTGAAGCATATAAAGGTACATAAACAAGAGAAGATTTAGAGCGAAAAAAGTCATGAAGTGAACAAGCAAGGGATAATCCTGAAGATCTGAAATTCATTTTTTTAGCTTGGAACATTTCTAGCTACTCTGACGAATATGTGGAGTTTAACCACTTTTTTTAGTTTTGTAGCAACTTTTCAAAATCATCAGCACAGAACCATACGTAAAACAAAACTGTGTAAGATTGAGCATAATGAAAAAAAGTCATGCCGGCAACTTCTACCAGGCATCGTATGTACCATTTAGCAAAGCCAGCATCATTCATTAATTATCCATTTGTAGGACAAGAAGAAAGATCCAACCCCACTGCTGATCTCCAACCCACAAACAGATTTAAATCACTCTGTGCAGATTAGACAGATGCTGCACCCAGGTACAGGCCTCCCATTCAGGTTCGCAGCCATCTGCACAGCATCATATTTTCAGATGAGAATGGGTCATCGTTAAGCATTACCTTCATTCAAAATCAATTGTGCGCAATTTTGACTCTGCTCCTAATTACTTCCTAACAAACATTTTCCTCGGCAGGAAAAAAAATATTTTGATTACAGTAACCATCATTTGGGGGTGGAATAATTCACAGAGGGAAAAGAAAGAGAGAGGTGGCACTTACCGTGTTGCATTTTGTCCCACACACCACTTGTCGGTGGTTCAGCCACTGGGAGGCAAACACTTTATTAAGGGTTCCGAGGTGAAATTCTCTCTCCTTCAGGAGGCTGGGAAGCTGCTGGGCTGCATATCCGTGCAACAGGCGGTGATAGCTGGACTCATTCTGCATCCGGACCTCTCTACCTTTCAGGTAGTACACCAGAGACCTTTTCACCGGGGGGAGTCTTTTCCTTTTGTGAACCGAGTGATCCCACCCATACTGTGGAAGAGAAGCATGGCAATTAGATACAGCAGTTGGAACAAACCTAAGGGACGACCCTTCTGAAGTCGAAGACATTCCCAACAAGACACTGAAGTCCTGCAAACTACCCATGGTTTAATACCGCGCACGAATTTAACTCGGAAATGCTGACATAACCTTCAGCAACACAACGGTAAACATAAATATTTACTAAAGAAGTAACAGCGCGATGATATTAAAACCAGTCGGCGCCGGTTCGGCCCCGTTGGGACAGCAGACGCTCATAGAAACAAGAGGGAACCG